AAAATTTTTTTTTTGAGACAAGATTTCTCTGTAGCTTTGAAGTCTGTCCTGGAACTCGCTCTGTAGACCAGGCTGGCCTTAAATTCAGAGATCCACCTGTCTCTGCCAAGTGCTGGGATTAAAGGCATGCATCACCTCTGCCTAGTTGGATTTTTTTTTCTATGAAGAATGTCTAGCCGGGCAATGGTGGCGCATGCCTTTAATCCCAGCACTCGGGAGGCAGAGGCAGGCGGATCTCTGTGAGTTCGAGACCAGCCTGGTCTACAGAGCTAGTTCTAGGACAGGCTCCAAAGCCACAGAGAAACCCTGTCTCGAAAAAACAAAAATAAATAAATAAATAAAAAATAAATAAAGGAAACCCTATTTTAGGGTTTCTATGCTGTGAAGAGACAGCTGTTATAAAGGAGAACATTTAACTGGGGCTGCTTTACAGGTATCACAGCAGGAAGCACGGTGGCTGCAGGCGGATGTGGTGCTAGAGATGGCCTAGAGTTCTATATTAGGAACAGCAGTCAGCAGGAACAGAGGGCAACACTGGGCCTGACTTGAACACTTGAAATCCTCAAACCCACTCACTGACACACTTGCTCCAACAAGGCCACACCTCCTGACAGTGCCACTCCCCATAGGCGTCATTTTCATTCAAACCACCACCATGTCACTGGAACTTTTAAGACTGCATTAAATTTGTAAATTGCTTTTTGTTTTTATAGTTGATGTGGGAGTGATTTATTATTAATAAAGAAACTGCCTAGGCCCCTTGATAGGCCAACCCATAGGTGGGTGGAGTAAACAGAAGAGAATGCTGGGAAAAAGAAGCTTAGTCAGGAGTCGCCATGATTCTCCCACTCCAGACAGACGCAGGTTAAGATCCTCCCTGGTAAGCCACCTCGTGGGCTACACAGAATATTAGAAATGGGTTAGAACAATATGTAAGAGCTAGCCAGTAAGAGGCTNTGGGAGAAAGAAGCTGAGTCAGTGAGTCGCCATGATTCTCCTACTCCAGACAGACTCAGGTTAAGATCCTCCCTGGTAAGCCACCTCGTGGGCTACACAGAATATTAGAAATGGGTTAGAACAATATGTAAGAGCTAGCCAGTAAGAGGCTACAGATAACAGGCCAGGCAGTGTTTAAAAAATACAGTTTCCGTGTAATTATTTCGGGCATAAGCTAGCCATGTGGGCGGCTGGGTGCCGGGGACACAGCCCCGCCGCTCCTACTTCTACATATAGTATAGCCCCTTTCCCATTAATTCTGTCAATCCATGGGTAAGAGGAGTCTCTGTTTTAAAGTTTTTGAGGCTATCGTGAATGGGACTGTTCCCTGTCTTTTTCACCACAGATGCTACTGGTACATAGAAAGCTACTTTTGTTTGCCTTGTTTTTAAAGATAGCTTCCCACTATATAGTCAGACCCGGTCTGGAACTCACTGTGTAGACCAGGGTATCCTCAAACCTTCATAGATCTGCCTGCCTCTGCCTCATGAGCGCTGAGATTAAAGATCTGTGCTATATGCCTAACTAGTTATTGGCTTTTATGCGTTGATTTTGGATTCTGTTACTCTGTTGAAAGTGTTTATAAGTGTGAAAGTTTTCTGATGGAGTCCTTTAGGCCTGTTAAGTAAAGGTTTTACCATCAGCCCACAATAATACTGAGGATGCCGTGACTTCTTCCTTTCATTTCTTCCCCCATGTCACATAGCTAAGACTGCTAGCATGATGCTGAATAACAAGAGGCACCTTTGTCTTTTTTTAATTTTAAAAATATTTTTGGTCTTTGAGATGGGTCTTGCTATGTAGCCCTAGCTACCCTGGAACTAAGTAGCTCAAGCTGGCCTCTGATTCATAGTATCTTCCTGTTGGCCTCCAGAGAGCTGTGATTACAGGCATGGCCGTCCATGCTCATCCTGCTTTACTTCCTTATCCATGGATCTCAGTTCTTTGGACACAGATCCTTTTAAGCATCAAGCAATTCTGAGTGTCATTTTATTGTGGAACAATCTTTTTATACACTGTTAAGATGCGTTGTTCTCATTGATTTATTAAAGAGCTAAATGGACAATAGCTAGGCAGAAAGAGGTTAGGTAAAAATATGAGTTGATTTGCATTATAAGAGCTCGTTAGAAACAAGCCTAAGCTACTGGTTGAATTTCCCTAATTAACAATAAGTCTCCTTGTCATGATTTGAAGCTGGCAAGAGGGACAGAAAAATCCACCTACATCACTTCTAACAGAAAGGGCCAGTCATTCTGTTAAGTGTAAGCAAACAACTTGGCAAAAATATGTTTCCTGCTGCCCAGTGTAGTGAAACTACATCTTGTTTTTTAAGTGTATTTCTCTAAGAATAAACCCCAATATGTACAGGTATTTACCTGGGCTCTGTGTCACCCCATGAGTTCTAGGAACAAGCTAACCCTTGTGCTGCTTGGAGTGCTAGGAAGAACACACTTTTTCTTCTTTAATCTAGGAAGCGTAGCTTCTGCCAACCTCTACGAAAGAAAGTAAAAATCTAACCTATTATATGTAAGTAACATAAGTTAAATCCCAGATCTGACAGTCTGATAATGAATGTTGACAGAAACATGGAAGAGGAACTATAATAGGTCTCCAGGCCTTAGCACAACTGATGTGACCTTAGAAGCACCATTCAGGCCTTGAAACCCAACAGCAACCTGCAACACCTTTCAAAACAGGAACAAAGACCTACACCACCTGCCAAAAGAGGAACAAAGACTAAGTCAATAGTTAAAGTCACCCTCCTTAGGTATCAGAACCATGGAAACTGGAGCTGACAATTAGATATACATGCATATAACAGAAAAGACTAGAAATTCATTACTCATCAAGTATGTACCATCTAGATAGCTGCCATTTCTGCCAGGATTCATCTTCATATCAAAAAGGGCAATACATCCACCATTATAACCTGGGCACAGACAAAATGCTGAATGTGTCTTATGCTGAAGCTACCACTGCTTGCCAGTCTTGTGCCTCAAAAATTACCGTGGGGTAGGGATGTGGCTCAGCAGCAGAACACTAGCAAGTGAAAGTTTCTAGGTTTGATCTTCAGTACCACAAAGCAAAAACTCAGCTGTCCTTGGGTCTTTTCTTCCCTTTATACCTGACCCTTTACCTATCATCTATATTGGTTTAAATCCAGTCCAGTCTCAACCCCCATCTCTCTTTCAGATTCAAAATTATATTCCATCTGTCTCCTTGATACTTCTACTTGTTGTTGTAATATATTTTCCCCTTAAGATATTTCCTCTTTCACGAGTCTCATTACCACCCTCCCCTTCTAGCTGATCAAAGCTCAAAATTTTAAGGTGACTTCTGATTCTTCTCTTTCCTTGGTGCCTCTATTCAAACAGATGCCAGGTCTAAGGGTTCTCTTAGGTAGTGCTACTCCAGGTGCTGGTCAGGGAGGAGCTAAGGAGCAGAAGGCAGGATGTAAACCAAGCCCTGTTTCTTTCATAGACAGTCTCATCTGCTGGACTTCTGTGCTTTTTGGCAGAGCTGAATGCTACTCTGACATAAGATCCTTACTTTGTTATAAATCAGAAACAACTGGCTCGACTAACTGTTAGTTTCAGGCTGTAGTTCCTTCCCAAAGGGGTACAAACTCTAGATCTAATGACAAAAACGACCTTTACAAAAGGAATGATATCTAGTTAGGACAATGCAAATCTCGCCTAGGTTTCAATGTTTTCTTCTGAATGTGCTCATCCTTGTATGTCCAGTATTTTTCGACTGTTACTTTATTTCATTTTCACTAACTAGTGTTTTAAGTTCTGTCCCACACAGTCAAGTGTGGCAATGCATATTTGCAATCCCAGCACTCTGTGGGAACAGGCAGGAAGGATTTGAAGTTCAGGGTCATCCTCTGCCACAGCATGAGTCTGAGGCCAGCCTGAGCTACATGAGACCCTGTCCTCAAAAACAAAAAAACACAAGCTGGTGGTGATAACTGAAGCCTGTAATCTCAGCACTTGGGAGGCTGGGACAGAAGGTTCAACAGTTCAAAGTCAGTCTGATGTGAGGCTGAGGCCAGCCTGGGCTACATGAGATCCTGTCTCAAAACAAAAGAGGTTGGTATAGGCTTATCTAGTGCCCAGGAGGCCTAAGTAAACCGAGCATAGTAGTGTATGCCTGTAATCTCAGCATTCAGAAAACAGAAACAGAAAGACCAGAAGTTTAAGGTTATCCTCGGCTACACAGCGTGTTTGAGGCCAGCCTGGGCTACATGAGACCGTCTCACGTGGGGAAATAGCACCAAAGAAATTCAGAAGAAAACACTGGAACCTAGGCAAGAAATAGCATTTGCTCATGTGTTTTTTTCTTAAAGTTTTTTTTTTCCTGTGGTGGCACTTCAATTGTATTTTAATAAAGCTATTTCTATTTTTAAAAATAGAAACAATAACTAACACTGAAGCCAGCCTCTAACTTACTAAATAACTGAGGAGGGTCTTGAACTTTTCTTTCATCTCCAAGTCGTCTTTGCCACTATGCCCAGTGTCTTCCTAAGGGCTTTACATAAATTAAGCTGTTTCTCAAAAAGACTCCCTGAAATAGGTACTATAACACGAATTTTCAAAATTTATTTATTTGTTTTAGGGGAACATCACAACATAACCCCACTAGCCTGGAATTCGTGGCAACCCTCTTGTTTCCAGAGGGCTGGAACTGCCATGCCCAACTGTTACCCGCTTTTTAGGAAGCGCTCCAGCCCTGGGAGCGTTAGGTTACTGTCCATGGTCCCAAAGATGGCGAACCGCCCGCATTTCCTGAGGTCTGTCCAGCCCGGCTAGAGCTCTCTTTTGTTCTGCCTGGGTACTCAGCGCCCATCGGGTGGAGCGCCCGCTCGCTCCGCGGTGCACCACGGTCCTCAGCGACCAGGCGCCATCCCGGCCCGTGACTACAGTAGTGAGGGGAGGAAGGGGCTGGGAGCTGGCGCGGACGGACGGACGGACGGACGGACGGAGGGGCCGGGGCGGACTCACAGTTCCAGCAGTTGACTGACCAGTTGCGACGAAGGCATCGCGGCCGCCCTCGGGAGCCGGGACCGCCGCGGGACTTCACGGCCAACTTCCTGCCGTGCAGGACGCGGAAGCCCAGATGACGTCACACAGAGTCGGGTTTGGGGGTTGGAGGGGAGGAAAGCCCAGGGCGCTCTGGGGGCGGAGCTTCTGAGAGCGCGCGAAAGGTCTCCTGGGACTTGTAGTTCTTCCTGCCCGCGCTTGCCGGGTACCGCTCCTCCTGCGGACTGCATTCCGTAAGCCTGTCCAGGCGAAGTGCGGGCCGGTCTCTGTTTTCGCTAGTAGGTTACAGAGCTCCGTGATACACACCGAGACTCCAGTCAGATACGGATGCCGCCGACGTCACACGCACGTTTTACAGGATGCTGTGGCCGTCTCCACTGAGTACACATAAAGCAAGAGCTGAGCCATGCACTCTTGTGTGATTTCAGGAACGAGCTATATTCCTTATAATCTCTCTAAATTGAAATTGTTTAGCCTATTTTTCAGATGAGGACACTCCATATCAACACATAAACTCAGAATGTCATTGTGCAGGAGACCGTCTCTTCAAAACAGGTTGTGAAGGGGGCCTGGCTCCCCTAGCTAGGTTTCTCTTCTTATAGTTCTGCTATAGAATATTTACGGCTTTTAAATGCTATTTTTCATTCTTTCTTACAGAGTAATTTATTGGTCCTATGTCAGAGCTTCCTTTGTAACACCTCGAATGTTGCAACCATTACAGCCAACTCTTCAGAATGCTGCTCAGTGCTATATTCCTCATAACCCTAGCCAACCAACACGTTTATTAAATACTGAATGAGGGCACAGGATTGGGTTGGGTGCTGAGAGTGCAGTGATGCACACTTCCCTTAGACAAGGAAGTGTTGGGTTCAGGGAAATCGTGCACAGATGGGGACAGACCACCAAAGTCTAATAAACCAGAAGCAAGCTTTATTCCAGAAACCAGGNCTTTTCGGACAACTGGTCGACCCGCTTTCTAGTCAGTGAAGAGAAAGGGTGCACAGAGAGCCAACTGGTCGACCCGTTGAAGACTATATAATATACAAACTTAAAAAAAAAAAAAAAAAAAAAAAAAAAAAAAAACACCACGGGGCACAGAAGCTTATCAGCTAGCTGAGACCACAGCCAGAGATGGTGTTTTAACAACCTAACGGCTGTGGCAAAAGGCCGGTTTCTGAATCCATCTTTTCATGGTAGCGGCACCAAGCATTAGGTCTGAACAAGGGAATTTTTACAATCTTGCCCTTGCCCTTACCCATTGATCACACGGGTCAGTCAATGAAGACCCAGGGGGAGGAGTGAGAGATGAGAGGGACAAGAGATACAAGGAATGGAGACGAGAGAGGATTCTGATCAACTCCTGTTTATTAGGGGAGTAAGTGGGGTAGATATAGGGTAATGGGAAGAAGGGAGTGGGTTCTAACATCAGTGGGTAACTAGGCAGCTATCATGAAATATGTTCCAGAGGAGATTACAGTGAAAGTTAGTGATTGCAAGGAAACAGATGTTTTTAGCAATTAGTCAGAGAAGGGGATTGCTAGTAATATCAGAAGGTTAATAAATCAGAATAATTGGTTCTTAGGCTGGTGTAGAAATAGGGGTGGTGGGGCTGCGTCCCCAGCACCCCGGCTTCTGGTCGCCTGGCTAGCTTATGCCCGAAATAACAACACACAAACTGTATTCTTTTAAACACTGCTTGCCCATTATATCCAGCCTCTTCTCGGCTAACTCTCGCACCTGGACTAGCCCATTTCTAATAATCTGTGTAAGCACCCCAAGGTGCACTTACCAGGAAGATTCTAGCCTACGTCCATCCTGCGTTGGAGTTGCCTGGGAGAGCAGAGCCTGGCGTCTCTGCTCCAGAGAGCAGAGCTGTCGGGGTCTGAGCTCACTTTCTCTTCCTCCCAGCATCCTATTCTATTTACTCTTCCCACCTATGTTTTAACCTATCAGGGCAAGCAGTTTCTTTATTTAATTAACCAATGAAATAAACAGATTGATATATGACACTCCCACATCAGGCTGGGAACTTAGAAGACAGCAAAAAGCTTCTAACACAATCTCAAGGTAAAGCTCAGATGCAGATTGCCTTACTTTACAATCTTCATTTTCAGTTAAACTAATGTTTGTGCTTAACCTGTTGCCTTCCTTGGTACTTCCAGGTGGTGTTTACTGAAGCCCTGTGCCTTCCCTTTGATGCTGCCAGTTTCACATAGCAGGGATGATGTGCAACCCAGAGGCCATATATCTAGTTCCTAAAAGTCGACTCAGCTCATATCTGAGGCTAGCTCCCAGTTTGCAGAGAGATGCTTTGGCCTTGTTAAGAGAGCTATAGGTTGTAAAGCGGAGTAACCCACTGTTAATAGTTCACCCTTAAGCGACTGAGAAAGCTGCTGACAGTCTGTTCTCATTCTCCCAGGCTTACAACTTTATATCTTCTTCATTTTTACATTCCTATTTTTGGAATCTACATTTTTTATATTCTTATTCTTGGAGTCTTCAAAAAGGACAATTAGAATTAGTCCCCAGGAGGAAGCACCAATCCTATGTATACAGGTATAGAGTTCAGAGACAAGAAAGTGCACTACAGCCGTTGCTTCATTATTTTCTGCTATTTCTTGGCAAAAATGACAACAAGTGAGCTAGAGTCAAAGCAAAGCGCAGATAAAATCATTGAATGTCTTAAGCTATGGGTTGGTCTTCTAAAGGAGAAAGCATTTTGCAGAAGAGATGTTAAGTTGAAACTACTACAAGGAGCTGGGCAGTGATGATGCACGCCTTTAATTCAAGCACTTGGGAGACAGAGGCAAGCGGATGGAGGCCAGACTGGTCTACAAAGTGAGTTCCAGAACAGATGGGCTATACAGAAGAATCCTCTCTCAAAAAAATCAAAGATCGAGCCAGGGAGAAAGCGCGAGAGTGAAGCATGATTAATAAAAGCTCAGACTGATATTGGGGCTCAACCTGAAGATCCAAAAAGCAAAGCAGTCAACCACTGGCTCTTACCTTTGTCCTCAGTTCAAAATAGCAATCCTGCCTCCAGGAATCTCAGGATGAGACTGTCTGAGCTGTTTCCTCCCATTTTACAATCCTCTCTATAACTGGGATTAAAGGCATGCATAGCCTGGTTTCTATGACAACCAGTGTGGCTAATGGGATTAAAGGTGTTTGTTACCATTGCCTGATCTGTAAGGCTGATCAGTGGGGCTAGTTTTCTCTCTGATCTTCAGGCAAGCTTTACTTACTAAAATACAAATGAAATGCCGCTAGAGAGAGAGAGAGAGAAAAGACAATACTACACTAAAGAAAGAATTTAAGAACACCCTCTAATTCAAGGAGACATTCAAATTAGAATGAAGCAAATACATTCTCATCTGGTACTCTACTGCAAGCTAATTCTACAGATTCTGAAATGTGATGTTATCTACCAATAACAGCCACCCGTTCTGAAACAAAGGAACATATAGAAGGAGAAGACAAAGAAAGTAAGGTGAAAGAAAATTGAAAAGAAGTGAAAGGAAAAGATAAAAGAACAGCAATCAATACCAAGAAGTGCTGACTCTAAGCCATTAGGTGTATCTTGCCTGACTCTTTGAATTGTTTACTTTGTAACTTCCAAGAAACATCTTAATGAAGATTCTTTGTATGTAGAAATAGATGTTGAGAAATTGCCCTGAGAACAGTTGTCAGTAGACTCCAGTGAATCATGTTCCTCATGAACGTACAAAAGCAGATGGTGATTTTACATTGCAACCAGAAGCCTGCAAACATGAAGAAAGTGCTGTTTCAAGCAACGAATTGTGCTGTTTTACCAGAGAATGCAGATCTTAAACTTTCTGATCTTATATTTCCTGAATGCTGGGACTATTAGTCTTGTGCCCCCATTTCTAGTTTATGCTGTGCTGGGGATCAAACCAAGGGCCTTAAACCTGCTAAGAAAGCAGTCTACTGACTAAGATACACCACTTGCTCCAAAAATGTGTCAGGGACCAGGTTTGACAAGAATATCTCTTACCACTGTTGTTATGATTGTTCGTCACTTTAAGAGGCAAGCCACGCCCACTCCCTGTAGCCCCTCCCTCCTCTCACCATCTTGGCTACTCTCTCTGTTCCCTTTCCCACTCCCCCTAATCTCTCTCTTTCTGCTCTCTTCTCTCTCTCTCTGTCCTCTTCTCCTTCTCCCCCCTCTCTCTTTTCTCCCTTCTCCCTTCCCCCTCCATAACCCCCTGAATAAATATTCAACCTCACTCTGCATGTCGTGTCTATCCATGTCTCTGTCTCCTGCCCGCCCGCCATGTGTCTCCCTGCCTGGGACTGGCTGCTCCCAGGGCCTGCTGCCTGCCACCACATAGCCCGCTACCACCATTTGGGAACCTCCAGCATTTCTGCTGCCTACTGCCGCTGGGGATCTTGCAGCATTTTTAAAAAAATCATAACAATGGTGAGAGCGTGGGGATTAGAAGTATAGTAAAGAATATGAAGACATGAATGAAAATAATAAAATGGAGAAACATAGGATAGTATTGGGAGGGAATTTGTGTGAGTACTGAAAATTCGCCCACATTTAATTTCCAAGTGCTTTAAATACCCTTGACCCCAAAAGGTAGGAGTCAGACAAAAGACTGCATTAACATGATACAAGGAAATGAACATATCAATCAAAAGTCATGGGTTACATTCATAGTTAAACATTCTGTTGCTAGAACAAAACAAGTCACACTCACTCCCTAGGCCAAACACTCTATAGGCAAACCACTCCCTGGGTGGAATCCCAAGTTATTTCCATAAGGGAAACTGGAACTTAGTTGGATCCTTAGACTTTTGTTTGAGGTAGGAACAGATCTACTTCTCTATTCCTGGAGCACAAGAGCTGGCTATTAGCCTCACCTGTTGACAACTGAAATTACCTGGTGTGAGTGAGAAGGACACATGGAACACATGACAAACCCACTTAGGAGTTTATTAGAGGGGGTGTGTACAGGCCTGGCGAATCAGTGTGCAGAGAGAAAGGAAGTTGGTGCATTCAGCTTTTTAAAAGCTGCCTAGCGTGTGTGCACATTCTAGGGGTTGGCATATGTTATACACAGATGACAGGCTCATGCATATGTGTAAGGGT